GAAGAACACTTGGATCATAAATGTAGGTCCAAGAACACCCAAAGAGGAAGTGCTGATACAAAGAAAGAGCTGGAGAACACCAGGATTTGAGACAAACATCCAATCTTTGAGATGCTGGAGAAACATGGGCCGATTTAAGTGAGGAAAACCCCCCTTTGAGTCCATCACTCTGTATACACAGGATGGAGCACCTGGGATTCAGAGGTCCTCAGCTGGCAATCCCTGGAGCAGGCAGGTACCAGATGAACACAGAAAGGTCCACGCAAAGCAACACCCCCCAGTCCTTTCAGATTCATTTGTGTACCACCTTGTCCAGTGCCAGCTCAGTTCATAACGACACATTTCAGCTGCTCAAACATCCTTTGTGCTGGCTAAACTTAAATCTCCTGGAAGCCAGAACCAAGGCAACTTCTAATAGGATTTTCCCATTACAACTGCAGCTTCCAATATGCTTTCTCTTTCGAGCTAAAGTAATATTAACTCTAAACCAGTAGTTTTCAGTTGCTTAAAGCCAATTTGAATCAAACTGGGTATTTTCCCTGAAAATAAGGGAAATTTCCAGGTTTTTTTTCAAATTAGAGTTAAAAAATGCTCATGCAATGAATGTTTTGACGACTGAAAAACAGAAGCGGGAGGAAGTTTGGGTTTTATGGGAAGGACCTGCTGATAACTCCTTCTAAGTTACTGCAGCTTGAAAACCAGCCCAAGTAACACACATACACCCCCTGAATACCAACTTATGTAGCTAGTGAAGACTTTTAGTCACTTGGCAGCTATGGCTGATGAGCAAGACATTCCCTGCAAGAGTTTTCTGGATGCTGCAGAGAGCCCTACCTCAGGTCCAGGACCAGGCATCCCCAAAGGAGCTGGATTCAAGCTGTTTGGAGATCCTCAGCACTTTACTTTGCACATGGTTTTATCCTGCACCCCTTAGAAGTGTTTCAGTCCGTGGAGTTCTCTGTTCCCTGCTCTGAAAGGCTCAAACCACTTGAAGAATACAGAGGAATGTGAAGCAGAGTGCCAGTTCCCCCTACAGCTTCAGGAAAAGCCATTCTTCCTAACAATATAAAGGTAAAACCCTACAATATTTCACCAATTCCCACTGCTCACCATTTGCACAAGACACTAGTCATTTTCCTGCACAGCTGACCAAAGAAGAGGCTCTTTAAAGGAGGTGCAGGAGGCAGAGATGCAGCAGTGTACAAACCCAAGGCTCTACTGGGGAAGAGGACTTTGTCTGGTTGACGGGAAGACACCTCTTCAGTGCCTGAAGTGAGACTTTTCCACTGCAGAACATCAGTTGCTATTCAGGGAAGCATTTGCTGTGGGTCAGCATTAAGCAGGTAACACGAGCAAAGGATGCTCAGAATTTATGGCTATTGATGTCTCATTTCAAGAGCTACATTGCTTAATTCAGATTCAAAAAGACCCCCAGAGGATCAAAAGAAGAACCCAGCAAAATGGAATCATCAGAAGAATGAAGTGTATTCCCTGACCCACCATTTCATAAACACCACTTGCCTCAAAGATAAAACAATCCATCAGTAAATGCTTTTGTCAATACCCTGGATTTGTTGTATTTCCCCATCAAAACGTGCAGACAGAGCATCCAACAGCAGGAAAACATTAAAACCACACGCTCAGACTTACAAAGCCCCTTCTATGTATATACACATAAAGCCCCAGAATGGTCAAGCCATCTGGGAAAACCAAGGTCACGCAGAAAACCTTGACCAGAATTAGCAGAGCTGTACAATTGGAGACATTTTATGAGGTCTTCACAAAGGCAGTACTTCAAATGAACAAACCAGCTTCCCCTGGAAGGCAGCTTTTCCTAACACGCCATAGCACGCATCAGGATCTCTTCCCCACCAAACCTTTCCTCAAGAGGAATGTCTTGCATGAAAACTGCTGATCCTTACAGGAGATCAAACAGTCCCCACTATTCCAATGCTCTCCCAACCAGCACTAGTGGGATACAATCAGCTCAACCCCCTCCACAGGGCACTAACAGAGAAGCCTCAGCCTTTACTATACCCTTTACTATAGCCTGAACCACAAACTTGTCCAGAGAGCAGCTCCTCGTGCAGCAGGGGGTTAAGAATATAGCTTTGCAGAACCCAGACCTCAAGCCATCGAGGCTCAACCTGTCACAAGCCCCCAGATCAGCAATGAAGATGGAGGGAAGCCACTGCTGAAGCTTTTTATCCCCACTCAGTCCAAGGAAAGACAACTTTTGGACCGAGACTGAGGAAAAGCTGGGAAAAGGGGAGGTTGGAAGTGGTAATACAGCAAGTTAGCATTGTCCCTGCCAAGCTGCATCAGGTCAGTTCTGTTATAGAGCTGGTTCAAAGCTGGCCCTGCACACTAACTGCTGTTCCCTCCTCGCCCCATCTGCCCCTTCAATCACAGCCATGGTGGGACCCATTCACCTAAACACATACAAGGAATAAAACATCCAACAAAGGAAGAGTTACAGCTTTCCTCTCATCTCCCTCTTCCATCATTATTGCCACTGAAGGGCCATTTTATCACTTGCAGCTGTGGTCATTCAGGGACAACCTGCTGTGCTCAGAGGCAGATGAGACCTGCACATTTGATCTGCATTAAGCCTGTTTCATGGCTTCACATTTCGAGGTACATTCCTAACAGCAGCACCAACCACCAAATCTTTTCATCCCTCCAGCTACTCAGCAGCTCCTGTGAAATGTGGCATTTATCTTTCACATCAGGCTTTTTTGGTGCAGCAGCAGTTAGCAATCTGTGCCCCAAACCCATCAGCCCCAAACAAGGGGGACTCCTCCTAGACAACAGCCAAAGCCTCATCTTTGCACCAGCAATGTTTATTAGCAGAGCTGCTTTCCAGTCCCTTCAGAAATGAGGTGCAAATGAACCAGCTCTTCACACATAGTAGCTAAGAAACACAGCACTTGGCTCTCAGGTGCAGTACAGCTGCTGAAGAAACAGGCCAAGTCAGGAGATTTCCTTTGCAGCAAGACACAGCAGCTCACATTCATGACAGAAGAGAAGCTGCCTCCTTTAGCTCAACATATGCTGATATGAAGATATTTAGCTCCCCAGAGTCCTCCTGCCTATTGCTTTTGGGGGGACCCAAATATACAGCAAGCACATAATGATCCATACTCTGCAATTCAGCCAGTTTCCCAGCATGGAGGGCTAGGTTTGTTCTGCCTGCTGCTGAGGATTCTGCAGGCAGGAGCAGTCTGCCAAATGCCCAGGCTAGAGCTGCATCCATTACTGGACAGTCAGGGTCAAACCTTTCCAGCCCCTCTAGCAGAGGAGTGTCCAATTCATAGCATCTCTCCCCCATGGGTCCTGGGCCCTCAGATTTCAGTTTCAGTCCTTCCAGCAAGCAAGAAAACAAGGAAGTCTCCAGCAAACAAATGCACTTGGAAATGCCCAGATGATTAAAAGCTCAACTCCTCCAGGAAGCAGCTGGTGACCAGCTCAGCCCCTGCATGGGCAACGTGTCAATCATGAATAATTGAAAGGGAATAGGAAGGAGACAGTGAAGTATGAAGCAAATTTCTCTCTGGGTAGCTGGAGGTTTCTATTGCTGCCAGTCACACCCTGCAAATGATTGTCTTGCCTGTCAGTCACCCCAGCCCTTACATGAACATGTGAGCTCAGGTTAACATTGGCAGGTAAAACTAATCAAGCTTGGTTATGCCTCTGCACACAAAAGCCAAAACCACCAGCAAAAACCCAGCTCTCATTTTTACCTGACTTGGGCAGCACAGCCTCAAACTGCTGGAGAGGGAAAGCTTACCCACATCATGCCAGGGAAAATGGGCACAAAAAGCAATTGGAATAGCTGCATTTTGGATCGCCTTCCCTCTGCTTGTGATCTAGTGCTCCACAGAGCAGGATGCATCTGAAGATGCAGTTCAAAAGCCAGCTGGAAATAAGACTCTAGCTCCAATGCAGCAACCAGATCACCTTCAAATAGATAAGACTGAGATGGTGCAGCTTTATCCTTTATTAGACTCTCAGGGGACAATACTGGTGACACTAAGGCAGCCCCACTTGCAAATAAGCATGTCTGGGCTTGTTTGATCCAGCACACTCTGAAAGCATCATGCCATGAGGATGGAAAGGGTCCTTTATACATCTGCTCTTCACACCTCCCTTCAGCAGACTTTTTGGGAACAACAAAAAGGTCTATAGCACAATTTAATGCTTTCCCTCTTTGTTGAAGAGTGTCTAGCCTGGAGGGGTAAAGGAGAGCACCACAAAGGATCTACCACAGATGATCAGAGATGTATATTTTATACAATAGCACATCTATCTATATGTTTATTATGAATAGTTTGCAATAAGGAGACTGAGCTTTCCTAACTAAGGGACAAAGACTCACGGATCCCAGCTGAGCTCCTTCACACATGCATCACCACTCCTGCAGCCAGGAGAGATGCAAGTTGCTGACACCACAGAGAGGAATGTGAGAAACTGGGCACTTCCTCACTCAGTTACACAAAATTACTGCACAGAAAGCTGACACATTGTCAATCTACAGGAAAATGTGGCTTGGTGTCTGTTTTCCCAGTCCCCAGATTGCATGCTGCTACTCTATGCAGGCTGTGAAGGCATTCACACTCAGCTTCCACATGCCACTGAAATCAAACACGAGAAGATGTGTGAGCATACCACATGAAGGGGAGACCAGAGAATTCCCAATAGTTACTGGGTTCCTTGGGGAACAAAGCTTTTTGGTCTCTTCAGTGCATGGACAACATGAGCATTAGGTAGAAAGATAAAGAAATAGCATCTGTGAAATCTGAAGTTACAAGGCAGGTTCTTTCCTACCACGCTCCTTATCTCCCAAGGCAAAGATCTCAAGTCTTACCACTGCTCTTCCACCTGATTTGCAAGTTCAAGGGTTGGATGTGTTCTTTCAAGCTCAGAAGGGAAGAAGTCACAGGCAGCAGCACCCCTTTGCCCCATTGTGCCCCATCAAGTTCAAACAAATGCTCACTTACCCCTCTTCTGCATAAAGATGAAGAGGTCATCCAGGAACTCTTTCCGTTCAGGGTCACTATCCAGTTCATAGAGCTGTGGGGGGGAAATAAAGATGAAGGCACAAGCCACAGTGAGACAGAAAGATCAAGTAATATCAGCTTTTTCCAATGGTGATCTGGTGATTGCACTGGAAAGTGAAAGCAAAACAAAGAAGGATTCCTGAGCATTTTGGTGGCCAAGGCTGCTGTGACAGTTAAAGGACCCTTGTTACTGGTTGCCTTGCTCAGCCCCTCAGTAACTCATCCAGGCACAGCAGAGACCAGTGCCCCGAAGGGAACAGGATTTGACCCAGTTAATAGCACTGCTACAGAGCAGGGTCTGAAACCACCTGAAAGCAAAGGGGAGAGAAAATATTAAGGCAAGCTAGACAGAAAGATGAGACAACCCAAAGGAAGGTGACAGTGGTTCAGGGCAGCTTAGCATCTGTACTCGTGAGGCACCAGATGGGTTAAGCTCTCTGCAGCTTCTCCTAGCCTCAGGATTCCCTCCTTTAGGGATTGTCACCTACGTGACAAACTGATCCCTTGAAGGAGAAGAGGAAAAGATTGAGCTTTCCTGTAACTACTAATGCCTGGCAGGAAAAAATAAGCCCCAAAGCCTTTAAAACTAGCAGAAACCAGCCTGGAAATTCACTGCAGCAATCATTTTACCAAAAGGCTTAACCACCCAAGCACTCTAAGTTCCCTAGGCAGCTATTCCAAAGGAGAGGCACTGTGTGCTAGCATCAGCCACTGCTTTTCAGAAGGGAGGAGCATGAGTGTCATCTCACAACTGCCTCTTCCTCAGAAAGATCTAATTCTCACCTATCAAGAATCCTGTGAGGCCACAAAGTGTCAGGCTGAGAGGGCTCAAGCCCATCTCTCAGTGACATACAGGACAGATGACAAGAGAGAAGACAATACTGTACATGAAGAATTCAATTCCTTCTCTTGTTTGCATTGAGGAAGAACCCTGCATCACTCCAGGGAATTATTTGCTGCTTGTAGCTCCTCTTTTGGGGCAGCTTAATGGAAAAGCAAAGATTCCCTGGGAAATACATATTCCAACCTTTCTGTAGGTGCTGCTAGCTACTTGGTATTCATCCAGTCCAGAAGAAGGGGGCTTTTTGGGCTCATTTCCTGTGAAGCTCTGTGCTTTCTCACATCCCAGCTCTGGGAAGAGAACACAGCAGTGTATTTGCAGAGCAATTAGCTGCCCCCTTTCAGAAAGAGCCAGCTTGGTTTCAAATGAATTCCTCTGGCTGACGTGACACACAGCTGCCACATTCAAATCCATGAGCACAGTGCTAAACAGGTTCAAGAAACAAAATACCCCTGTCTCAGCTGGAGAAAGCATTGACTAATATTATAAATGTCCAAAGTCAGGTTAAGCCTTAGTTTAAACTGTATTCCAGTGAGCAAAGGCAACAAAACAGCCCCAAAATAGCAGGTTTGTAGGTGGGACAAAGCCAGTTTACTTACAAATTCACTATAGAGGACTAGTGAGGGCTCCACAGTGACCCTCTGGCACAGATCAGAGGAAAAGCCCCCAAATCCCAGGATCCCACTGACCTTGGCAAAGTCTCTGGAAATTTCTCTTCCTCTGCATCCGTCGCCTTCATCGCTCCAGGTCACGCTGCCGTTCTAGGGAGAGAGAAACAACAGGGTGAAAGGATCTGCCTGGAAAGGCTCTGCAGACAGCTCCAAAAGCTTCCAAATAGGCATTTTTGGGGCAAACACACATGCAAAAGCAGCTGCTTGGCTTAGACCAAGATCACTAGAAAGACAGGGGACATTGGTGCATTTGTCATTGCACACTTCCCTGGAATCTCTGCCACTCAGCCCAAGAGGGAAGTGGCATTCCACCTTCCAGGCACCTACTGAAGGTAGGGGAAGTTTTTCAGCTCTAAGTTTTTCCCCACAGAATTGTATCACCATGAAGTTGTCTTGGCACCGGGAAAAGCCATTCCAGAGGAAAGTCCTCAATCTGCTAAACCCTCTAAGAGGTGCTCTGCTGCAGTGAGGTTCAGCACCTAAAGAGGTGCTCTCCGTGTCCATCCTTTTACCAAGTGCTCATCCTAGAGTCCCTAGGAAAGGTACAGGTGTTGCTCAAGCATCCCTCCTATGAGGCAACACTGACCACACTTGGAAATGCCCTTCTGTCCTCTCCCAGCTTGCCTACAAAACCAGAAGAGGGAGATAAACCCCCTGGAAAGCTTCATGCTCACCCAGGACCCTTACTCCTGGAAGCTGCTGGATGTGGATTGTCCCCACAGAAATGGAAAGCTCAGCTTTCCTGGATTAAGGTTCATTCTTCTCAGGCATTAAAGGGATTACTCTAGTTGGGCCTATTCCACTTGGTAAATCATCAGCCTGAAATGATCACCAGAAGGGGCAGCCTCTGGCAGTATGGCACAGAATGGTCTTGAGATACATTCAAGCATCTTTAAACCATAAACTTCACAAAGTGCTCCAGAGCCACTCAAGGAAAGAGAAGAGCTAAATCCACCCAGCACAGTACCTTTCATTACTCTGTCCTGATAAACATACAGCATCCTAGCACAGAAGAGCACTGAGGATAGATAGCAAGAGGTTTTGGCACAAGAATTCTTAAGCCAGCATGTGAATTAGAGAGGTGGTCCAATATCTGAAATCTTGGAGTCATCTGGTTGTGACAGGTCCATTGAATTAGAAAGATGAATAGCTCTCGTCAAGGCCAGGCAAAGCTACACTTCCCCCTTCAAACAACACTGCAGTGAGCTGCCCTAATGCCTGCTGATTTAGTTTGAGCCAGTAATTCCTGTTGGAAAGTCAATTATCCAGTGAGTCCCATCAACTGAAAGATATTTAATGGGGGATTATTGCCACTTCTGTTATGTCAGCTGTTTATTACAGCAGATCAATTCCCAGCCCTCTCTAGGAAGGGATCTGAAGCCCGGTTTTGTTCACAGGAGGATTCATCTGGGTGTCCTTTGCTAGCAGAGATTAAAAACACAGGGTTTTTGCTAATTAGGGTAACATCCAGCTGCTCCTAAACCCCTAGTGGCTGTTAACTGGGATCAACAAAACTATGTGACCAGTTACAACAAGAGATGGTCACTTCAGAAGGCAGCAGGTATTTCCCATCCTCAACTTTACACACTCCAAAGCACAGTGATTTGGAGGGACCTGAGCCAATTTCTTCCCAAGTGGGTATTTGGTTATAAATCCACAGGGCAAAACTGCTTCTGGTGTTAAACGGGATGCTCCAGGAAGCAAAACACTTGCTTTCATTGGGAACTTTGGTCATGCTGAGAGCTTATTCCGCTACATTTGAGGAAGGGACAGGAAGAAGAGGGCTTAAAGGAGACAATTCTTCACTGCCAGTGGGTCTGAACTTGCTAAAGTGTCAAGGAACAAAACTTTCCATGGGATTAAAGGCTCTTGAGAAGTTATTTTACTTGTTCTACGTGAAGACAAGGGGTAATTGGAAAAGAATGACAAGATTAAGGTTTGGTACAGAGAATAAGCAGAATATAGACAACCTACTTCCTATAATACACCCTAAGATGCTTGAGGGCACAGAAGTAATGCTCCCCCACATCCCACTAGTGAAAAGGAGCTTAAAGCTTGCTGAAGCCATCAGTGTTTCACCATATGTCCAGAAAACTGGCAGAGATGGATATAACCTGGCATGACACGGAGTGATCCGAGGTGAGAGCCAGCAGCCAGCATTAGCATTTCCTCCTGCAGTAGCTGGGAAGGTTTAAAGCCAGTAACCACTCCCCATGTTAAGCTATCAGAGGAGATAAGGAGAGGGCTTCTCAAGCACCTCAGTGGAAACCAGCACAAGCTGGAGGCATGAGGACAGAGCACAGGTTTGGTTTGGGTGGCAGAGTCCACAGGGTCTCGGGCTAGCACGAAATGTCAGCTCAGCAGCTGCGAATAAAGCCTTATTTATTCAGAGAACAGAGTACAAGCACTACAGGCACTTTCCCAGGCTCAGCTTTGAACTTGAGGGACCATTCAGCTCACCAAAACCTTTGGGTCCGTGCCAAGGTTACAAGTGAAGGTATCAAACCTTGGCAGCGGTCAGAACAGTGACTTGAGCACAACCGGAAGGGGTAAATCAGTAAAGAGCCCCACAAAGCTCCTAAAGCAGCTCCTGAAGCAAGAGATGCTCCATATGCAGGATAAACTACATTTTGCACAGCAAGAGAGCTCAGCAGGAGCTTTGGTATCAAGCTTCCTTTCCATTCCTCCTAGGAAAACAAAGTTACCCTATGCTGAGAAGTCCTCCTCTGTATGAACAGCAGGAACCTGAGAAATCAATATATCTTCACAAGTCATTAAAAGACCTTTGTATAAGGCAGGCAATAGTAGCAGGAAGGAAAAAACACTGTTGAGAGAAGCAGGTCATTCTCTGGGGACAGTCCTGCTTCTCCCTCTGCCTGTTTGCATCAGGGGAATTTGCTGATGTTTGACAAACAGCCTCTGCATTACCACAGGCAGGAATTTATCTGCTTTCTTGCAGAAGAAGGTGGGAGAAGCTCCCAATGCAAAGCCTGGGCGAAGAGGCAGAGGTGTTGGGAAGGGCTGGCCACCTCTGCAAGCCACTGCCAGCACCTGGGAGCCTTTCCCCTGCAGACACCTCCATCAGAGCCCCCCAGAGCTCCCCCTGCCCGAGAGGCTGCAGGCCTGGCTTCAGAAGCAATTATATCTGGACCTATTTTAGGATTACTCCCTAACCACCTGGAATATCTTATTAGAGGGAAGCTCAGATGTCCAGAGCAATTTTGGTTTCCAATCCCACATTCAAAAGGCAGAGTTAACCCTGAGTTGCCAAGCAGACAAGAAAAGGGGAGGACAAACACTTTCCTCCTTTGCCCAGCTCATTCTTTCGAGGACAAAACCCTTACAAACAAGCAGCCTCAGCCCCTCTCAAATGTTCCCATCTCACATGTCTGCCCCTCCCAGAGGAGGGAACTAACCAAACCCCTGTGCTCAGTATAAAGTATTAAGGCAAACAGAATAACAGCTCAACATCATCTTCTCCAGTTCTGCCTGTACAAGCTGCAGTCAGTGTGCAAAAGGGGGCCTTGATGAGAAACTGGAAATACTCCTTTCCCACATCATTCCCTTCTCCCGCACCCCGGTTTGAGCCAGCTGTTTGAGAGGGGCTCAACTAAAGCCCAGACTACCAAGTTGTATTCAAATGGGAAACTGAACTGTAGAGAACCCACTAAAGCTTTAACATGCATGGTCTAGTGCAAGGTGTCCCTGCCCACGGCAGGGGGGGTGAACTAGATGATCTCAAGGTCCTTTCCAACCCAAACCATTCTATGATTCTATGTAAAAGAAACGGGGAAAAAACCTTCTGGTGTGAAACTCAACATCATTCTGCACCTGCTTACTGCAGACCCGTAGTTTTGACAGAGCTTTCAGGCTAGAAACCTGCTGAAATGCCCACTTAGAGCCAAGGCTAAACGTTGCAATGCAAAAGAAAGCCCCTCCTTTACACCATGGGTTAACTGAAAGCACTGAGTCAAGGAAAAGGTAGAGGGGCAGCAATTTCAGGATTATCAGAGAATCCCCTGAAATTCCTTTTGTGGGTTGAGTTAAGCCTTAGGAAGTGAAACAGATGCTATTAGAAAGAAAACTGTTGTACTACAAACCACTGATAAGATCAGGACTAGAGCCCTGAGCTGCAAGTTCTCAAGCATGGAGAACCAAGTTATAATTACTGCGTGCACAAGCTCTGCTGGAACTGGAATAAACCCTTCCCAGTCTGACTAATAACAGCTCAATTCAATAGCTGCAAGCATCAAAGCCTGCTTTGGAAAACACTGGAGTGATTGCAGGAATTGCAGGAAGGATGGGGAAGGAAAGAAAAAGAATGGATTGAAGTTAACAGATTAATTGCCTTTATTTATTAAAGGCCTAGTGAGCGTAGCACCAACATAGTTCTTGTTTCCTTATCCTTAAGGAAAAGCTAGGCTCTTTGTGAATGACTACTGTTCACAAATACTCAGAGGAATTAACTAAAACCTAAGTGACAAGAAGATTTGTTCAGTGCTATAATGGCTGTGGGAAGAGAAATTCTCACTGCCACAGGAGAGTCTCAGATTTACCCTGAAGTGAGGAAACACGGAGTAGGAGGACAGCACATTCGAGCACCTTCCACCTCCTGTCTCCAGCATCAGCTGCAACGTCTCTATAAATTGTCACCAAGAGAAGCTGAAACTATTCCTAAACTTACCACCTGAAAAAAGATCCTAAAATAAGCCTTATCTTCCCCAGGATATAAATGAGCTTCTCACTCTGCTCCTTTGCGCCCAGATTTAGCACAGTCCTTGCAATATAACACAGCCCTGATGAAGCCTATGGAATTGTCTCCTGAGACGAAGAGCTGGGGGAATGCTCTGATGTCTAATACAGGCTGTTTGTAGGCTGCTGCCTCCAGTCATCATCACAAGCAGTTTTCTTGGTTCTCCTCTCCCATGCTTGGTGTATTAAACAAAAGGGTGACTGTTGCTGCAGTCACTGATGCTGAAGTTGTGAACATCAAGTGAGGTGCTAAGGCAGGAGCACCTGTCTTGGGGATAAAGACTTCACCAAACCTAAGCCATGAACTGCAAGAGAAGTTCATGTCCTTACAGAAAACAGCTTTCAGTAAGAGAGAAACCAACTATCTGACATGAGCTCTTCATGACAAATTTTCCTCCCACATCATCACAAAAATACTGAGTGACTCACATAAGGAATTAAAAATCCTTATGGATTGGGCCCTGGACACCTGAAATAACTCCAAGGCAAAAAATGCACTGTGTGAAATGCAACTTCTTTATCCCTGGGACCTTCATCCCCACTGGATTAATGAGTATCTCCTGAGCAATACCTCAGTACACACACCACTTGAGGCACATACTTAAAGGTTCTGGAATCTCAGCCACTCATTCCTAGACCCTAGAGCAAAAGCAAAGTAATTATTTTAAGCTGACTTATCTTAATAAACCCCATGACCTTTGTCAAAGTTTAGGGCAGGATTTTCAGGAGTAACTGGTGATTTCTGAGAATCTAACATGAAACATCACCAAAAAGCAGACCACAAACCACTCTCAGACAGCTGCTTTGCAGGGACTTACCTTGCTGTGCCTAAGAAGGCATTAAGTATCAGCTGATGCCTGAAAACCTTGGCTTCATTTTTACATTCCACCCAGGAATGCACATACTAATGTGTGTGCTGTAGTAAACAGCCTGGCAAAATTGCTCCTGGTAGTGCTGCACGCCAGCCTGGAGTGGAAAAGGAGCAAGACAGAGGTCCTGCCTTCCCTGCACTGCTCTCCCTGGTAACCAGAGCCATCCGCAAGCAATGTGAGAAGCCACGGGCCGGGGATCCACACCTTCCAGCTGCTAAAAGCACCGTTTTCACCCACAGAATTAAACCCTCAGTTTCCTTCAAAGACAGGCAAAGCCACAACACCCTTTTCCCAGGATTTGGGAGGGATCTGCAGGGGATTTGAGCGAGCTGAGCACACCCACCCACCCCCAGCTCTTCTTCTGGGCTTGCAACTCCCTGACAAGCAACTGCACTCACTCCCTTGTTGTTTTGTGCTGACAAGATTCCCACCGCCCATGTGCCATAAGCTGAGCCAGCTCTTTTGTCTGCTGCCTTGTTTTACAATTATTTACTTGGCTGTCCAGGACTGAACAGAACGGGGCTTCATCTTGCTGGTAGATTCCAACTTTCTGCCATCCTCATGCCACATACCTTCCAGGCAGTGTTACATACACTTTCAACATACATTTTTCTCCAAGGGCATCACTTTCAGAAGCACGATCTACACTTGAAAGAAGAAATAGAAGTGACTTTTCCCCTCCTTCTACAAGCAAGAGCCATTATGCATACCACAAATACTCCCAGAGCAGAGCTAGCTGGAAGCAGTGTATCCCAACTGGTTATTAGCCTCCATCTCAAGAAAAGCTAAAAGAGAGATCAGGAAGCATTTAGAAAACCAAGTGGAGAACACAGGCACTTCTGCATTTGATCCTGGCTTCTTCTGCCTAGCACAACCATTTTAGACAAAGGCAGAAGAAAACTCCAGTATCTTAAAAGTATGCCTTTGAAATGAATAATGTCAGGCTGTCATGCCAGCTAACAGCTCTTGTCTGCCCACCACATGCATTCCTACACCTCCAGCAAGCCTTACCAGCTCAGAACTGGTACAGTGCAGTTAAATTTTCACTCCCCGCTCTGCAGGCTCCACTGGTGAATGCAAACAAGTTCATCTGCAATATTTACCCTGCCCAAGGTGAATATTCTTTACCAGCATCACTAATACTGGCCACTTCAGTATTGCCTTTTGAGCACCTTAATGATAAGAGTTCACCAATACCACTATGAATTTAGGCTATGCCTTACCGAGGCTGTACTGGAAACCCGGTATGCCATCTCCAAATGCCACTTTCCCTTTTAGTTTGGCTTCTTGGGGAAGCTCTGTGCATTGGCTTACAGAGTAAGTTGGTCTGACATTGGTACAGTCTTCTACCAAAACACTTAATTACTGCTGCAATGAGCCATAGTAACCGGATCAGTGCACAATATGCCAGCTGGAAACCAGTGCTTTTATCCTTATATTTTTTGCTATTCCACATCAGGTTAGACCAGATCTAGCTTGCTTATGGTCATCTTCCAAGAACAGAGCAAATCACCTAGGAATCAAGCCTAGCAAGTCAGTTAGATTCCCAGGACTCTCCCAAGATAAGCAAATATTGGGAAGAAACACAAAGACATCCTGTTAGCACCAGCTGAGCTAGAAATAAAACCAGCCAAAGAAGATGCTAAGCTTATTTGGGGTTATTTTGAACGTGATCCCCCTGACACCAGAGCCCTGCCTCTAATTCTCCACCCAGAGACCTTGAAGAGGAAGTTACTCCAACCCAGCAAATACAGAAGCAACCTCTCCAGCGAGCATCCCCTGACATACCCACCTCATGTCCCTGCATCAGCTCGAGCAACTTCTTTCAACCCAACCCCTCTTGAGAAGCATACCCAGAGAAAACAGAGCTGGAGCTGGTTGCCTGCTGCATCCCATGCACCATGCTGCTTCACCAGCACACCTTACAGCACCAAGAGTACAAATGCCATTCACGTGACCACTTAGAGGAGCGCCTGCCATATGCAGCGGTGGGTGTAGAAGCACCATAGTGGAACTGGATTGCAGAGGAGGAGCCTCAAGGAATGGGAGAACTACTAAAGTTTGCTAAGCTTTAGCAGTTCCTCCTCAAACTGCTGCCTGTGACAGCATGAATGATCTCGTGCATGCGACCAAGGGGAGAACCTGGCCAGAGAGCCCACAGCAAGCTTTCAAACACCCATGTTCACCAGCCAGCACAAAGCAGCTCCCACTTTACTCCATAGGGTTTGCAGGAGGTAAGGAAAACCAGCTCTGGTTTTGTCCACAGCTTCTTAGCTCAAAGAACTCTATCTGAAACAAACCCCTCTTCACACTCAGGTTAACATCTGTAGAAAAGGACAATGCAGTCCTACTTCATCTTTATTTAAACCACGCAGTCCTTTAGCTCAGTTTCAATACACATAAATGCTATGTAAGTCTCTGACAGCCTGCTCAAGTTAGCTCTGGAACAAAGCAGCATGTTAACTGAAATACCCACTTAGAAAAGAATACTTGATCCTCCGGCATTTATCTGCAAGAAGTAGTAATTCTTCATTCAGACACAGAATTAACCTCCTGCCAAAACCAAGCAGTAGCGAGTTAGCACCTCCCTTCCCACACATGAAATAGAGAGTGGCTCTGCTTCCCCACATGATCAGGACATATGCTCTTCCCTGCCTGCCCACACCATGAACCAGAAATCCAGCCAACAGCACAGCATCCCACAGGTCTTACACAAAGGGGTTTATAGATGTGAAATAACTCGAGGCATTAGCAGGCAAGTGTCTGCACCCAAAATAAATATAGCACCAACCTGTTCCCCTCTGCATGGCAGAGCAGCAGGGAGATAGAAGGTATATAAGCCAATGATCAAACCTCTACCTACTCACAAAGGTTCTGAGAGATCGGGGGATCTGTATCTGTGAAGCAAATCAAGCTCTTGTGTTATCTCTTTACAACAGAGCAAACCTGGAAGAACGCACCAGGGCAGCATCACTCTGCACATACAAAAAAAAAGCTCTTGGAACAGGGCACTGGGCTAAAGAAACTCTTGGTCTGGCTGAATCTGAGAAGGAAATAACATGAACACTGACCTGTTTGAGCTGCTCATCCAAGCGCCAGTTCTGGCGTCCAGACGGGGAACCGGCATACGGCTGCTTAGTACTGTCTTTACCCTGTTCTTCTTTGCCCTGCTGTCCCCGCTGGAGCCCCGATGCTGGAAGAGGATTCGAGGTAGAGGCCGCTCTTTGGTTGTGATGGGCAACTTTGGGAGCATGGAAATATTTCAGAGCAGAGCAGGTTTCTTTTCCAGTCACATCAGTGCCACCCTCAAGATCGTCGCCTTCTAAACCCCCTTCTTCTTCCTCTTCCTCGTCCTCTTCCTCTTCCTCCTCTTCTGGCTCGGAATTCATGCTGCTCTGATCAAAAGCCCGCGTAGCTCCGGCTGCAGGCGGGCCTCTGGCCAAGGGACCGACAGTGGAGCCGCCTGAAGCCCTGCCAGATGTGGCTGCTAGGACAGCCTGCTGCACGGCCAGCTGCTGAGTGTAGAGCAGCTGGGCTTCCCTCATCTGCCTCTGCTGCCTCTCCCTGGAATCCATCTGCAGAGGCGTTTGCTGCTTCTGCTGCTGCTTCTGCAGCTGCTCGACCACAGCTTCCAGCTTCATCCCGCAGTTTGCATGGCTGGGAAAAGAGGGGGGTGGTTTTGACTTTATGTTGCAGGGTTCAAGCTCCGACCTTGGGAGATTGGCAGAATCTGAAAGATAGACAAATATTTGTCTGTATGAATATAAAATGCTTTCATCTTTTCCCCAGGAAGAGGATAAATAGAGTGCAAAGCCAATACTCTTTCCTGTGCAGGAGACCGTGAAACAATCAGCTTCATGTTTAACAGCCTCAGGCTCAAACTTGCATTCAATTTTCAGACTGTTTAATTGTATTTGCAAGCTGAACACATTTGCTATAACCTCAGTTTCATACACCCCAAAGACAGCATCTGAAATGCCTTTGTCCAAGGTCCCAGGGCTTTTTCCTTCCACGCTTCCTAAATAATGACTTTTGAAATGTTAGGTTAAACATCCAGGGTTTGGTGCTTCTGAAAACGCTGCCTTAAAAGGAGATAGCTGGGTGATGAGCTTGACCCTATTTCTACTGGAAAATGGGCAGGGATTTACTGCCCACCAATGACACCTACATTATTTTATGCTTTCATTACATTAGTAAATTCTTTACACTTCAGACATCTTTTTTATTAAAAGAATCTCCGAAGCACAACTATATTTAGCCATTATTTTTCCCAAGGAGAGCATCCAGCAACCACCACTGTAGACTGAATCAGACTACTGAGCACCAAGCAGCTCCTGCCTCTGGCTCCTGGAGCTGCCAGTGCATCCCAAGCTCCAGCCACGGCCTCCCTTGGCTTTTTGCAGCTGCAGGATCTCTCCCAGCTCTCCATTTGGACCTGCAGCAAGCCCATGCTGAGCCTCCTCTTGGGCAAAGAGCACCACCACAGCCTGCAGCCAGAGACACAGCTGAGGCAGCCTAAATCCTAGGAGAACAACTACGCCTTTAATCCCCGAACGTTAAAACCAGCGGGTGTATTTTGGACCCTGTGTCACAAAGTGGACCTGCTGACAAAGACTGACCTTCTCAGGGTTGTTTTTATGCAAAGGAAGATGCTTGAACGGATCCCACTTGCTACACTTCAAGGTTCATTGATACCAAAATACAGTCAGCTCAGAGAAACAAAGGAAAGGCCAACTCCAAACAAGCGCCAGGCTCCCGGCCACCTCCCACCACCCTGTTTACAACCAGCCCTGTTCAAACCACGTACTTCAAAAAGAGACTCTTTTGCTAACACTCATTTCCAAAACAGCCCCAGTTCTTCTCTACAACAATAAATAACCTACCAGACACCACTTTGAAAAGTGAAAGGCAACTTCCAGCACCCCTAGTGCAACTCCAAGTCGTCTTCTAAGGTGGTCAGACGGAGTCTCTCACACAAAGTGCCCACCAGCTCCAATGCCCAACTCCTTTCTCCTTCACAAACTCTTCCCTGTGCTAAATACCAGCCCATCACTGAAGTGAAAGGCCTGGCTGGCGCGTTTGCATCTTTATCTAGCAGCAGCAGCGCAGCTTTAGTGTGCAAATGAAACAATATCAAGTGGATTAGTGGTTTGAATGTCAGGAGCAATAACGCATTACCTGGCAGCTGAAAAGACTCTTAGACTCCTTCTGAGGGCACAATACACCATCTGGCCTAGCTCCACACATACACTCCTCCAGTAAAGCAACAATGAGCCAAGTCGGGTGTTGCAACACAACCATAAACCAAGGTAGAGAACCTCCAGCCCACACCTCGCTGCATATTGTTGCACCTGAGGCAGGGTGAGGCATCACCTGGGGGATCCTGAGCACTTACTACACGCCTAAGGTACAGGCGAGGGTAATAAATGAGCCGATAGTGGGTTCCATGCGGAGAAAACACACCTCAGGTGCAGCGCCACCCTGGTATGCAGCACCCGTGGCATTCCCAAAGCGCAGGTACAAGTGATGACAGGATTGATGCGTGGCTGCACAGGGGCTTCACCAGAGCCCAGCCTCCTAAAGGGTGAATTCTGGCTCCAGCAAACACACCCTCAACAAGTATTGGCGGTATTGGGAAGAAGCAGCCAGCTTGAGGAGGAGTTATAAAATGCAGTGCTCGCAGCAAGTGCTTCAGTCACGGCATCGCGACCGACTTTAGGATAACGACTGCAGCTAAACCAGCAGCGTTAACTCCCTCCAGGTTTGAACACCCTCAGCAGGGACAGCCCTCACTCTCTGTGTCTCTCCCCCAAGCGAGGCAGGGAAAGGAGCCAGTTTAACGTTCAGGTCACCCCGCACCAGGCTTTGTGCGGGTTTTAATCCCCGGGAGAACGTTTTAATCGGAAAGCCCCTGGCTCGGAACGTTTAACCAGCGGCACTCGCGGGGTGCTGGGGAGAGAGCGCCTGAAAGAGTTAACGCGTGAGGTGAGCGGCGAGGCCAGCCTGGCCCCAGCCCCGCGGGGCTGGTAAACAC